CTTACTCTTAATCTCTAAAGTAATAATAATAATCTTATTATTATATAGAGTTTAAAATAAAACTAAAGTAGAATTAATATAATTATTAAGAGTAATAGTACTAATATAATTCTAAATACTATTAAAGATAAGAATATAAATAGTTTTATTAGATTAGTAAGATATAGTTTTTAAAATAAATATATTCTACTAAGCTTATTATAATCTAGATTAAAATAGAAACTAATATAGAAGAATACTAGATAAAAATATAAAATATATATTAAATTCTTTAGTATTAAAAGTAATATTAATAATATAGATCTATAAATAAATTATATACTTAGTAGAAAAATAATTAATAGAATATTATATAGATTAGAATTAGAAAAAACTAAAACTAGATATAGATTTATCTTTAAATAGAGAGTTTTAAAGCTATAATATTTATAGTAGAACTTAGATTAGAGATTTATTATAGAATTAATATAGAATTAATTTAGAAGTAGATAGAAAACTTATTAAACTAAAGAATATAATAAATAGTATATTTATTAATAATTATACTATTAATATATTATTAATAATTAGTTCTAGAATAATAAGAATTAAAAATATTTAGAAATTAAATTAGAGATAAAATAAAGAAAAAAAAAATAAATTAAATTTATATAGTAATAGAGAGTAAAGAGTAAAATAGAATAAAAGAAATATAGAAATAATATAAAGTAGGATTTACTTTAGATTTTATTTATATTAAAATTAATATAGAGAAAAAGAGAAATTTATCTAATTATCTAATTATATAAAAAAGAAAGAGAAGAAAAAAGAAAAAGAAATTAAAAGAAAGAAAGATATTTATAGATATAAGAGAGAATATAAATAATCTAAATAATCTAAGATTCTATAAGGAAAATATATTAAATATTAAAAAGTTATATAAGTAATAATAAATATATAAGGAATTTATATTATAATTAATCTAAATTAGTATAATAATTATATCTTCTTAATCTATAATTAAAAAAATTAAATAGAGAAAAATATAAAGTTAAAGAACTAAATTAGAACTATATTAAATATATATAGAGAATAGATTAGATAAACTAAAAAATAAAAATAATAAAGAAATTCTATCTAGATAACTTTTAAAAAGAAAATTAAAACTAGAAAGTAGAAAATAAAATTAACTAATTAGATAATAGAAAAATATCTCTAAATTAATTATTTAAAGCTAGTTATAAGAAATTAATTCTAAGATAGAGCTAAATTATATTCTATATAGATATAAATTAAAAATTACTCTATCTATAATAACTAGTAGATAAGAGCTAAAATTAAAATATAATAAATAAATAAAGAAAAATAAAAAACTAAGAGCTATATTAATATCTAGATAAAGCTATAGAAAAAATAAGTAGAATAAGATTTTTATTCTATATATAAGGTTTTCCCTTATTAAAGATTAGATAGAGAGACTAAAAACTAACTAGACTTAGTATCTAGGATAAATAATAATAATCTATATATCTATTATTACTAGCTCTATAATACTTATATATTAATAGTAACTTATATTATATAGCCTAAAATAATCTAATTATACTATTTAGAATAATATTTTAATTAGTTTAACTCTAACTTACTCTAGACCCTGTTTAGTATAAGTTATCTAACTATTATAATTTTCTAATATATTACTTATAGTAGAATAATAAAATTAGATATAAAAGATTATAAGTTATATTTTTAAAATCTATAGCTAAAGACTAGCTTTTATACTATTTAGAAATAAAAGTAGTTTCTTAGTAATTATAGCTATTAGCTACTAGTAATTATAATTACTAGTTTTTAATAATTATAGTTACTAGCTATAACTACTAATAACTCCTTACTAATACTAGCTAATAGTAATTAAGATTACTATCTAATAGTAATTATAGCTTGTTATAATTATTATAGTTTAGTAAGCTCTAGTAATCTCTATAAGACTAGGAGTATAAGTAGAGCTATTATTAGATTATTAAGCTTATCTAAGAAAAATTCTAGAATATTTTTAGATAATTTAATCTATATTCAGATTACCCTATAACTAATTTACCCTAGACTAGATCTTAGATCTTAGATAATTTCTTTAGTTTTAAAAATAAAATATATAATATTTATACTTAATTAATTAGCTAAAGAGTCTCTTTTAGATAAAAGTAAATCTTATAAAAGCTATATATATTAGTTAAAGGTTTTAGTAGTTATAAATTAATTTTTTAGATTTCTTATAGTAATAAATTTTATAGAAAATTAAAAGTAGTCTAGAAAGTTATTATAATAGATTTTAGAGTAGTTTTTAATTAGTAGATTTATAAAAGAAATTAGTAGAATTTTCTAATCTCTTTTATAAAAATAAAATTCTTTTATACTATATTTTATACTATATTTAGTTCCTCTAGTACTAAAACTTACTGAGTTATAATAGAATTAGTAGGTAAGAACTATAAGTTATAGTAAACTTCCCTACTATATTATAGAGGCTTTTAAGAGTAAATACCCTATAAACCTACTGTAATTTTAATAGCTATCTCTTATAAAAAAGTAGTAATAGCTAAGTCTAAGAATTACTCTCTATATATAGTATATCTAAGGATAGATTAATCTCAGAATATAGCCTAGTATATACTAAATATACTTTTATAATCAGGATATATTATTAGATTTAGTTCTAATATATAGATCTATAAAGTATATTCTACTAAGGATATTATAAGAAAATATATAGTTTTAATATAGAATTTAATTTAAGAACTTAAGATCTAAAACTTAGTTTATATTAATATTTATAAGAAAGTTTATTAGAACTTTTCTAATTTAGTAAAACTCTTAATATTCTATCTTAAAGATATATAATTTCCTTCTTTAAAATATAATTTTATATTATCTAAATAAGTTTATAACTATTTAGTTCTATAATCCCTATAGCTAGAAATCTTTTAATTAAAACTACTAAATAATTTATATCTAGTAAGATCTCTACTCTTAACTATAAATATAGAGTAAACTAAATATATATATATATACTTTATACTCTCTCTTAATAGAAAGCTCTCTATATAACTTATCTAATAATTTATTATTTCTACCTTTAGCTTAGGAAATCCCTTATAGATATAGAAAGAACTCTGAAGAAATATAGAATAAACTATAACTACTAGCTATAGAAGTAAAGTAGTACCTATAGTTTTATAATCTTCTAACTTAATAAGGCTTATTCTAAGATCTATTCTGAGATATAAACTCTATAGCTGAGTATATAAGAGTAATTAGTAATAGATAATATATATATATAAATAGTATAAGCTTATAGGTTTATTAATAAGGTCTGGTCTGGTAGAGATTATATATAAAAGTTATACTTCTTTTCTTAAGTATATATACTACTACCTAATACTAAATATTTATAATAAGTTATAATAGTATAAGATATATAATAAACTATCTGTGAATTTCTAATAATTACCTTGCTCTATTCTACTAATATAGTATAAGCGATCTTCTCAGTTAGAACTCCTTAGGAGCTATATTTATCAGAAGAACAGGATATAAGAATATTATTACAGCTTACTACTTATAAGCAGTTAAGCTCTACTAGTAGATAGATATTTTACTATTTAATTACCTTCTAACTTCTAATAAACCCAGAGAGAGAATACTTAGAGATATTTAGATCTATAGTAAATAGTACCTAGTCTATAACTCTATAGATAACTGCTTATAGCAGGTAGACTATAAAATAATAAGAGCTTTTACTTAAGAGCTTTATCCCCTTAACCTCTTTATAACTACAGAATCTGAATTAATATAACTTGAAATTAGATCTGGTAGTACTTACTTATATATTATAACCCGAGATCTTTAATAAGGCAAAAACATATCCTCGGCGTGAAAGAAGAGATGTAGAACGATCGGACTATATGAATTCTACAACCGCCATGCTGGCGGGGGCAATATCGAGACGTAGCGTAAGGGAGATGCTGGCGGCCAATACATGGGCGCCCATTTAATTTTGGCGCCCACGTATTGGCCGCCAGATGAGGTTAGATAGACCGCAGACACTCGTCTTCTGCTTTTGATCTCTCGTACAATCTGTGATTTGATAAATGGGATGGTAAAGCGGATTTGAATGACCGTGATGACGAGCCTAAAGATTTGCAAGGTACATGTCTGGGCTATAGCTACACGAGAGGATAGTCTCAAGTGGGCTAAAGTAAGGAGAAACAGCTCGGTGATTAATCGCCGAATTGGTTCCACTTCCATCAATGGCGCTGAAACCGTTGGAGCCAGGTGCATTGCGTTTAACCAGAGAGCTACCAGTCCCTGTCGTAATCGGCATGTTAGCCACGCACTGCCTTTACCCGCACTCGAAGCACTACGAGCGGCCATAGAAGCAATGACCAGCGGTTCATTCCAGGCGTGCCTACGTTGCCACGGGAAGAAAGTGAGGGTAAGCAACCAATCATGCTTCCATAGCAGGTTTAGATGGGCGTATGCTCGGACATTTATTCCCAGCCCATACTAGGTGTGGAAAATAGTGTAGCAGCTTTCCCGAGTGTCGAAGCCGTAGTGACGCCAATGTTCAGTGCGAGCCATATACGAGACCTAGGAAGGCCGAGAGCATACAAGCTAAATATCGACGTTATCTTCCCAATCAGCAACTGACCCACACCAGAGCTCTCAAGCAGGCCGAGAAGAGGATTCAATGGCTCGAGAGCGAGCTGTAGGCACATTTTTGCAAAGCCTCCATCACCTGCCACCATCTCCCGAATCTGGAGGCTCTGCCCTGCCGCTGACGGCCAACCGAGCGGTCGCTCCGGGGCCGAATCCTTCTATTCCTGCCAGTTCCCAAAGCCTTGCCGGACCCGAAAGCGCATCACTCACCAGGTGGTAAATTTCTCCATTCTCTCGCCTCGTAAGCTTTGTAAATTCTCGATTGAAGGTTGGCATTCTCCTTAACTAGACTAAAAAAAAAATTACATATTCTTAAGCTTGGCCACAGCGTTCTGGATTGCTGAGATGGCCTCCTCTAGCAATGGCAATTCCACTGCTGTAGCAGATCTGTTTTCTGAAGCCCTATCCAGCAGTTGATATCCGCGGGTGTATCTCTCATTCTGATCTTGAAAGTATAAGTAACTCGTCGCCATCCTCAAGCGATACCGCCCGCCTTGAATGCCTACATCATCCTCTCCAAATACGGAGCCCGGCAATGCCGCCACGCCGCAGTCTTCGATGAGCCAATGAGACAGTTGAAGGCTCGTCCAGATGTCCATGGATTCGAGTTGCTTGGAGTAGGGGTGGAACGATGGGTACACGTAGAAAGCACCTTTTGGCTTTGCCACGGCCAGGCCACAGTTCTGCAGTGCTTCGAATAACCTGAGTGTGCAATGTTGGTGCAGGAGCGTGATCTTCTTGCGATAGTGATCCATCTCTGGGCTGGTGTCGAAAGCAATGGCTGCGGCCTCTTGGGCTGGAGAGGAAGCGGCGGACCAACATTCAGAGGCGTAGGCAAGTGTGGCTTTCTGCACTGTTGCCCCAAAACTTGTAGATGGGAAAATAGCGTAGCCTACGCGCCATCCTCCCGCTGAGTACGTCTAGCTCGATATATTAGGACAGGTTTCTCCGTAGTATTGCGGGATGGTGTACAAGCTAAGCGGCTGACAGACCTTAGAGAGACCACCAGTCAATACCATTCGTCCAGAGTCGAAACTGGCCACGGAACAGGCACTGGCTTGACAATTCTCCTCAAAACAGATATCGGAGTAGATTTCGTCACTAATTAGAATGACTTCTTGTTCTTTGCAGAAACATGTTATTGCTTCGAGAGTGGAGGGGGAGAAAGCTTGGCCAGTAGGGTTGGATGGAGAATTGATAAGCATGATGCGCGGATTGCCGCCCGTCGCGACGGCTCGGTCAAATGTCGCCTTAAGAGAAAGGGCTTTTCAGATTAATATCCTAACACAAGAAGGCTTCATATTAATGGAGTTGAGGGCCACGCACCTGTGATTGTGTGCCGGTCTTCCTCGTCTGTCTCTACCCAGAACAGTCGCTTTCCAGCATGCTTCACCTGGGGCTCATAGCTTACCCATGACGGGCGAGGAAGCATTACATCGCCTTGGAGTATATCTAAAAGGGCAAAGAGTAGCGGCTTGGAACCTGGTGCGATCACGACCTGGTGCGGGTCGATGGTAAATCCCAGGCGACGTGTTTGGAATCTAGCCACAGACTGCGAGATATATGTCAGTGGGTCTGGCTATCATTGGAAATACAGAAGCCCGTGGTCTAAAGGATGGCAGCGCTTAGTCAAAGTGACTATGCTGTGCATGACCTACCTCTCTCAGTTTCCACAAACCAGCAACAGGAAGATAGCTAGTGTTGTCACTGGCCTCCTGATGCGCAAGGCGTACAATCTTGGGAATGGGAAATGTTGCTTCTCCAAACCCTAGGTGCACCACATGCTTGCCGCTATCGAGACGCTCCCTTACAAGCTCATTAATCTCAAGTGTTGCGGAGAGGCGAAGCTCTCGAGCTTGGGTTGTCAAAGGATTGACTCCAGTTGCTTCGGTGAGGGACCCCATTTCCAATAATCCTTATCGGGCAAGAGGAGAATATGAAAAAAATTGTCAAAACACCTATCAAGGCCGCGGCCCTTCTTTTTAAACGTCTGGAGCATTCTCTCATGCCCCTTTTCCATTCTGAATAATTTTCTGTTGACATCGGCAAAACGGTTCGGAGCTGTGGAGCCGAGACTCTTGCCACGAGTCACTCATTTCGGTCGGCGTCTCGGCGTCTCGGCGCCGCGGCAGATAAAGCTCCACAACCCCATGATCCTTTGTAAAGTGGGTCTCGCTTGGAGAATTGGACGTTGCTAAATGGCCACTCCATTTGACCACCCAAAGTGGGTCAATCTGTGGCACAGAGCCGAGACCGTTCAACCTATGGTGTTATATTTCAGCTTTCCAGCCTGCTATGTGTGACGGTTTGGTGTAAGCCTGGCTACAGGGTAGGCAGGTTACAGGGTGGTGTGGCGATCAGGGTGTCAGTACTGGGCGAGTCACAGCTAATGTGCGAGCACTGAAGAGCTAGGGTTTCAATGAAGGCGGTAGCAACTGTATTGATAACTAGCGAGTGAATATCTATCTGAGAGAATGAATAGAGGGTTTTAAATAAGGTTTGCCTTCCACTTCTTCACTTTTGCTTCACTTCCACTTGACTTCCACTTCACTTTACCAAAGTGAAGTACCAATCAGATCTTCCCAATGGCCCCCACCTTCTGTGGCACCTATTGGTTCCTTTGTCAGCCTTGGTCCCCACAAGTCACATGACTCATGCGGCCCAACTGGGAGGCCTAGTTCGTAACACTATGAATAACCGGTTTCTTCTAAATCACAAATAATTGTAGATTGCGTTTTAACAATATGCTTTAAGGTTATCCCATTTCTCTGAGGCCTCCTCTCTTCCCTTATCCCGGTTTCAATCATATTAGAAGTAGAAGCATATCGTGGTCTGGAAGGGTCGCTTGTATTATTTCCTTTCCTCATCCAGGGGCCATTGAATTTCAAATTTGATCAATACCAGGAGCATCAGTGCTAGCGAAGAGGGTATTACCAAACCTCGCAACAACCAATTATGTGCTGTGTTAGTGATCACTGGACTCGCCACCCGCTAATAGTTCTAGTAGCCTATGGTCCAGAAAAAGCGATCTATGCCTTTCAATTATTGCACGGTAGGATCGGACGCAATCGTCCAGTCGTGAGCATCGAACTCAGATCTTACTGCGGTGGCGAATTCATCATCAATCATAACCTGCAGCGCTGTCGCCGCCATTGCCCTACCACACTTGAGTGATCGATCGTGCGCATCTTGAGTCCCTGCAGCAGCCGCAAAGTCTGCAGTATGTATAGAACCACTGGGGCTGACGACCTGTATTTTCCAGTCAGTCTGCGTTTGGGATTATGCCTTTTTGGGGCAAGACAAGGATTACCTCGAAGGTAGGGTGGATGCTAGGGCAAACGTATGTTACGTTGCCCATATCAGTGCTGAAGCAGTCCCGGTCGGCTTTCTGCTCGAAAGCCGTGCGATGAGGCACGCTCTGACGCTCCATATGTTCAACATACTTTGCAGCCAGCCTGCCGATGGTTAGACATGCCACTGTTGAAGATAACACAGCGGGACTCACATTTCGTTGGTGCGAACGTCCCAATACGCCGGGAGCCAGTCCGTCTTTAACTCGCAGCCTGTCGCCAAGGCCGCTGCCTCCATGCAGTTGATGAACTTCTGCTTCAGGACTCGGTATCGCTCCAGATTGGCTGACCGCACGCAATATCGTGCCTTGGCGTAGGCGGGAATCACTCCAGATCGCTGCCCGGCGCTTAAAACAACGCCTCGTATGCGATCAGAGGGCATGATCTGTTGTCGGAGCAGTCCAATGCTGGTCTGCAGTAACGTCACAGCGTCTAGCGCATTGATGCCGTCGAATGGTGCGACCATTGCATGTGCTGGCTTGCCAATATACTCGATAGTCAACTCGGATCCACACATGGTCGATACGTAGGCATTATTCTTCTGCCTGTTTAGTCCAAGTAGATGAGCCTTGTCAGCTATCCATACAGAAAGAAGTTATGTGAATAGTATATACAGAGCCACTTACATAGGGTGCACCATCAGGCAGCAGAATATGCCATCGTACGCGCCTGCTCGGATCATCTTGATTTTGCCGCCGCCACCCTCTTCTGCAGGTGTCCCTATCGCAACCACACGGCCTTTGACTTTTCCATCCTTGATTGCCTCGGCGACTCCAATCGCAGCAGCTAGCCCCGAACAGGCTATCAAATTATGGCCGCAGGCGTGCCCAATCAGCTCCAGTGCATCATATCTGATCATAGAGAATAGCTGTTAAAGTTGTCCAATGCCGTGTGTTCTGATAGGGAGTTAACGTACTCGAGATTTATGGCCACGGCGCGCCCGTCCTTTGATCCGTAAGAAGCCGTGAAAGCCGTTTCCAGGCCGAACGCTGCCCGCTGGACTTCAAAACCTCGCTGCTCCAGATATGCTGTCAATACATCATGGGCATGATGTTCATGAAAGAGTAGCTCTGGATGAGAGTGAATCTAGCAAATATGAGTCATTGAAACTTCATGGGAGAATAAGATCTCGGTCCCCATTGCGGCATGTATGCGCAACGACATCTTTCTAATGCCTAGACTTACATCCCAGTTTATGCTCCTCAATTCGTCGGAGGCTTTTGTCGCGGCCTCATCGGAGACTGCCTGCAATGCTTGCAGCTTATCAGTGGAGTTCATCGCGCTTAGAAGTAGTGCAGGGAGAAAGGAAGGGAAATGGAGGTAGCGATTTGGAGGTAGCGATTCTCGCGACGGGGAGGCTCCGAGTTGTAATACGATGCAGCTTATAATGACGGTGAGACACCAGCAATGCATATACGTCAGATGCACACGTCTGTTTTGGGACTTGGAGTTTTGCCACCTGGAATTCATAATACGAGTCATTTTGTTCCAGATCCCGGCGTGGATAATTGGCCGGGGATATTTACCCGGGGACTTTCCTTCTCGGCAATCCGGCGCCGGTGCGCCACCCAACGGGGATTTGGTATTGATAACTGGGTAGGTAGTAAAAGCTGGGGATGCCCCCACCCGAAAGACCCACGCATGACCCATCTTGTAGAGCCAGCTTGCATGGCCTTCTGTGGAGCAGCCGTCCCTCTGTACCCCAGAGAGAGCTATTCCTTAAGTATCCATGGCGCACTGGTTATCTATTCGGAACGTAAGACTCCTTGTGTGAAGCTCTTGCGTGCGGATCGAAAGTTGGTGTAATCCGCCTATGGGTGCCCCTCGTTGCTTCGTCTTCTCCATCAACGCCTTATCTATATTTCATCACGGCACCAAGCGTGCCAAGGGCATTAAACTAGCTTCACCCGTTTGTCCGAATCATCCGTTGTCCAAAAGTCGCGCCAAGTAGCTCTCAAAGATGCGCTGGCGCTTCAAACCTGTGGGCGTATCACACTGCATTACTGAGTCAGGAAATGGCTCACTGAGACCGTTTCTCCTTGGATGAAATGCAGTATGAATCGCAAGCTTTTGTCTTGTTCCTCAAGAGCTCCTGCCGGCATGCCGGGCTCCGCATGAAATAATCAGATAAGGAATACGGAGCGGCGCAGGACTATTCGCTCAACAGAATAGTCTCGAGACACGCCATGGTGAGAAAAAAGCTGGAGGAATAGTTTATGTCCCAACCAACCCGTTGTGCACCCTGAAGGTAGCGGACCTTGCGCTTCTAGCAGCTGGAAGGAAGTGCAACTTCACATAGCTCAATATCTATAGCACTACAACAACTCTTCACAAATTTCGTACTAAATATCATACAAGCAGCTCTACTGCATATTATCCAATTTCAAGTAAGATCATAGCCCGAGGAACATATTTGTCCACTCTTGAGACCCATATTGGTCGGTCATGTACGCTTCTTGGCCGGCGGCTGCTCCCAGAGCATCAAAGATGCCGAAGCCAGACTGTGCGGGGAATATGTTCCAGAAGGCTTGTCCATTGTCCCAACCTAGGAAGTCTCGGAATGGCTCGAAGGAGCGCCACTCCATTGGCGGTGATGGCTCCAGAGGAGCATCGCCACCGGCCGACCAAGCTGGAGCATCGCCACCGGCCGACCAAGCTGGAGCATCGCACGTGCCGCAAGTATTGGGGACTGAATCAAGGTTGGAGGCAAGACCTGGACTAGTTGTACTTGTAGCTGTCGTCGAACTAACATTGCCTATAAGGCCCGTCGCGAAAATCTTGAGCGTGTCAATGGCGAGCGTTTCATACTGCGCATCTAGGCTTGCAACGAGATCCTCCGACCATCGTTCATTGATAATGGTTATACATAAAGAGCATTTCCTGGTCCAATTTGCTAAATCCACCAGCAAGAATGACGGACCAGCGTATTGGGCCAGCTTAGAAGCTGTGGTTCTTGCCGTTACCAAGATTGTCAGGCCTGCGAATATTACGCCTTGCACTAGCATCCAGGTGATTGGCACATTGGTGCTGCGTAAGACCCCCAGCAAGTTGTCGATGTAATGTCCAGCGGAGCGTATGCAAAATTCGGCTGACTTGGGCGAAGGTTGTGGACAGAGCGGGCTTGATCGATGCAGCACGAACGAAGTGCTATAATACAGTCTCTCCCAGTAGCTTTGGTACAGTTAGTAACTATTGACGCGTCTCGACCTGTGGCAAACATACCTATGCGGGTAAACAGAGGTTTTGTCGTGCTCATAGAGGCCGGCCAAGAAGTCTCTCCAGCCATCAAGTTCCGTCTGCAAACTCTCGATAACTTGAAGCCGATCTTCCATAGAAATGGTTTTAGATGGATTTGTACAGTAGACGGAAGCCATGATCCTGTTTTGTATTCTCCTGTGTTTGATATGCTGAACCCCAAAAGCTGTTTCCCCCAGGCCTTCTGGGAGCTTTGCCGTGATGTAATCATCAGTGATACTAGGCGGTCGTCCGAGGTTGTAGGCGAGGGTTATCTCAATGATAAACGACGCCCAAAACACCCGATTCCGACGGTCAATATCAAGATCGGAAATTTGAGAACCAGAGTAGGAGCAGTGGAGGCCGAGTTCCACAGCCATCTAGAAGATGTTAGTTCCCAAGAACGTAGGCGCGCTCCACTCGGGACACAGGCTCACTCGCATAGCCAGGCCTGAAAGCTGCCACTGGCTTAGGCCGCTCGGTCCGTACGAGCTGTACATGGAAATCAAGACAAGTGTCTGTATCAGGAAAACACTCGGACGATGATGTTGAATACTGTGTTCGAAGAGGTTCAGCGCCGCGCCGTATAGATGGCTTGCTGAGGGCATGGAGCTGTCCAGTTGGGATGGCTCCTTTGTTTCTTTGAGTGTGTGGGGGGCATTGGTGGCACCCAGGGCCATAACCAAGAAGTAGATGATCATATCGCAATTCTGCTCGAATGTTTTCTTTTGAGAACTTGTCTCGTAATCACTGCACCTAGTTACGAGTCTGTCCAGATCCTCGTTGCTGAACAGGGGATAGAGAGGGAGCATCCAGAGCTGGAAGGACCGAGCCAGGAATCGAGCGAGGTCTGGAGAGAGAGCCTTGTGCACGTCAGCCACGGTCATGGCTCCCTCACGACCGTCGCCATTGTTGGAGTTTGGCGGAGGTGGTCTGCAGCGAGCTTGATTCGGACCAAGAGACCGAGCCAACAGCGCGATGTAGTTGGCAATGAATGAGCCGGAGGAAGGCCCCAAATAACGCGGCTCTCCCGTGGCGTTGAGAGCCAGCAAGCTCAGCCCGGGGTTGTCCACACTCGCAGAGGCGGCATCGACGGAGCTTGCTTGAGTTCCAGATGCAGGCGTGTGCAAGGGCTCGTCACGGCGAGCGGAGATGATCTGCTGGTCGCGAGGCGAGCCGCCGAGGGCGTTCCTCAACGATGTGCCGGTCTTGATGGAGCAGCAGTTGATCGAAAAAACAGCAGAGATCTCGTCCTCAAGCCAGGCCAATCGCTCCTGTGCGCTTTTGTACGCCCTGGAGGCGGATCAGCAAGACATGGCCAGCACGAAAAGGGAATAAGGCGACCTACTCGACGCGCCTGAGCCTTATGTACGGCTCGCAGAGGGCTGCGGCCTGAACGCAGTTGCGACATGTTGCCGCGCCGTCACACTAGCCTGGGGCGTAAGCTGGGCCGGACAACTCGAGGTGAAACGAAGCAGTGACTGACCTTAATCTTCTTCACGTGGCAGCGAGCACAGGCCCGAACTGCAGCGTTGGCCATGATACGAAGGCGGTGGCGGTGGTCCAGGGCACCGGAGATTAATCGGCGAGAGAAAAGCTATCCTGGCGAAGTTCAAACAGTCGACAGGATGTGGCGGAGGGAAAAGAATATGGTCCATGCCGCCCGGCGATAAATCCCCATAGGGTTCGTGGTGGTATGCCCCGCAAAAGGAGTCCGGGGTTTGCTCGCACCTCAGGCACGACAACCTCCACGGCGGAATGTGAACGATAAGTCGCTAGCGGCACGGGCATGACTCGTCTGGCCTTCCCCGCACCCCCTTCGACACCCTCTGAGCTTCGTGCCTATCTCTCAAGGCATGATCTTACCTTATCTAGATCATTCCATAATAGACAACAGAAGGGGTATTAGAGGTTTTCCGAAACTGGAACGTGCTCTGCTCTGGGGTTGTGGGGAAACGCCACAGGACCCCTTGTGTTGTCCGCTCGTCCACCAAGCATGCTACTGATTACCGGGACGCGCAAAGGGTATATAAGGGTCCAGTCATTCGCCTGGGCAATGTTCTTATTCACCCTGAAGAGTCCGTATCATCTCTTGCGGAGTTCCTCTCACCATTCTGTCCGCCCCGCCAACACCTGCTCTCACCATTATCCGCCGTCGCCAATCTTACATCAACGCCTTTTTCCCTTTTCCAGCGCCATACCCACGAAGGTAAGCCTACCATGGCCACTCCAGCCCACGGCACTGACGGGCCTGAGCCCCTCTCGGAGAAACGGTCCCACAATCCCGCCGATTGTCTTGTCGAAGAAGGTAAACCAACCGACCAGCTCGACTACTCTGGCGCGACCAAGAAGACCGACCCGGCTGAGATCGCCCTGGTCCGTAAACTTGACCGCTGGATCTTGCCCACGCTATGGTTCATGTACTGGCTCAACTACCTTGACAGGAACGCGATCGCCACAGCCCGTCTGAACAATCTCGAGAAGGACCTCAACCTGGCCGGCACGCAATACCAAACCTGTGTTTCTATCCTCTTTGTGGGGTACCTTTTCGGCCAGGTTCCTTCCAATATGCTCCTTACGCGTGTCCGGCCTTCCTATTATATGGCGAGTTGCATGGCTCTGTGGGCTGTAGTCAGCGCGTTGACTGCCGTCTCTGTGGACTTCAAGAGTCTCCTTCTTGCTCGCTTCTTCCTCGGCATCACCGAAGCTCCTTACTACCCCGGTGCGCTATTCCTGCTCTCCATCTTCTATACACGCAAAGAGATTGCCACACGCATCTCTATCCTCTACACCGGCAATGTCCTCGCCACCGCCTTTGCTGGCCTCATTGCCGCCGGCGTCTTCCATGGTATGGACGATCTCGCAGGAATTACCGGCTGGCGATGGCTCTTCATCCTGCAGGGAATCGTCACCTTCGTAATTGCGATGGTATCTGCATTCACGCTGCCCGACCACCCGCTCACCACCCGCTGGTTGACGCCCGAGGAGAGGCAGCTAGCACATGAACGCATCGAACGCGACACAGTTGGCAACCGGTTCCAGTCTTCCACCTGGAACGGATTAAAGGAGGCGGTAACCGATCCAAAGTTGTGGCTCTTTGTGTTCATCCAAACGATGCACCTTGCAGCCAACGGTTTCAAAAACTTCTTCCCAACAGTCGTCGAGACTCTAGGTTTTAGTACGACCGTCACTTTGGTTCTGACTTGCCCTCCTTACATCATTGCCGGTGCTGTCGCTGTTTACTGGTCCTGGCAGTCAGGGAGGTTCAATGAGCGCACGTGGCACATTACAGGTGCAAAGGCCGTTGCTATCATTGGGTGAGTAATCAGTGAGATCGCCTTAAAGATCAATGGACTGATGGTTTTACAGTTTCGTGCTGGCTATGGCTACATCGAACGTCGGTGCCCGATACTTTGCAATGGCCGTCTTCACCACGGGTACCTATGCTGTCAACTCTATTGTACTCGGTTGGGTTGGGTCGACCTGTGGTCAGACCCGTGAGAAGAAGGCCGCGGCACTCGCCATTGCCAACATGGTCGCTGGTATCACCTTGATCTGGACTCCTGTACGTCGTCACCCCTTCCCCCTCTCACTTTCCTGTTAGTCACTGACTGAGTAAAACAGTATCTCTGGCCGTCTTCCGACAGTCCTCGCTACGTCACTGCGATGTCGTCCTCTGCTGCATTCTCGGTTGGGTGTGCCGGCGGTGCGTGGATCATGAGGTTCTGGCTCATACGCGAGAACAAGAAGCTCAGGCAGAGCGAGGACCAAGCCACAGTCTTTTATGCTTACTAAACATCCTTTTAAAGATCTCCTATGCGCTTATTTTGGCTGATGGCGTAGGACAAGTTCTTACATCGGTTAAATGCGCACAATATTGCCGCGCCTGGTGCAGATGACGGGAATCCTGGAGGGTCCAGGTCGCCCGTGACCTTTTGGCCCAAGCCTGATTCATGAGCTATAGTATCCTTCTTCCAATTCGTCTAGTTCAAAAGACTATACAATATCGGTTCTCTATCGTTACCCTTATCCTAAATCCCAAATAATTTAGAGTAAAGTTTATTGCAAACCTATAAGAAAATAGAGTTTAATTAACTTTCTGTGTGACTTGGGGGTTTCGAGCCTGGCTACAGGGTAGGAATGAGTGACTCGTGTGAGTATGTGCTTTGAGATTTCTTGGATCCCTCAGGCGAAACAGTCCGCCCTTTTTCAATATTTATATCTTCGTGCTTCTGAGAGAGTCCTAGGGCTTCTCTGTCACTATGATCCGGTTTCTGCGTGAATGGTGTCGGAATTCAATATGAGGATTTGAGGATAGAGAACCTATTACGATGTAGCACTAGATACGAATTGTTTAAGCAATTCAAGACTGTACAGCACCTAGGAACATAAGCGGTGAAGCGGGAAGGGCAACTCGCTTTGGCGACCTCCCTATTGCTAGAACCCAAATAATTATAGAGTTGAAGGTGCGATAACCAATGCTATCTCCAAATCCTTGAAACACTTGATAATCATGATACTATTTAGGAAATACTGAGAGCCCGTTGCAATCTTGCCAGGCTCCAAACTCTTGCCACATACTGCTGAGTCCAACACCATCCATCTCCCATGCCCAGAGCGAGGCATTACTATCTTCTTGCCAGGGATCATCAGCAGGTGCGTCCGAGCCGCTTCTCTTAGCGACGTTATCGAGGAAGCGGAAAGCCTGCCTGGCTACGGAGTTCTTCCGACTTAGCTGTTCCAGCATCGGTAACGAGGTGCAAAGATTTTCTAAGCCTTGGGCCGCTACACTTTGGTCCGGGCTTTTTGACTCTATTGCATGGTGGCACATGGAAAGGTAGAGCTGGTGGATCGCGTACACCCAGACCGAGCTGAGAAGACCTTGGTTGAACAGGCTGGTGCAGATTGTGCTGATGGCTACGGCGGATTCGTGGACCTTCCGCGGATCAACCGGAGCTACTGAGTAAAATCGGACAACAGCAGCACAGTACGTGATGTTCAGCATTCCAGACCAGAGAGAGTAGTGCGAAGAGCTACCCCGAGAGGAAGCAGTCATGGTAGGTGGCAATCCGTCATACCATTTCTGCAGCTCTGCACGAGCCTGGTGAATTCCATCCTCACGTCTTCTTATGCGCCGATGTGTTTGCGGGCCCCCGGGCCGTAGATCGTCAAGCCAATCGCTGATAATGTAGCACAAATGTATCGCCGAAATGAAGAAGTCAACATGCTCCCGGCAGGGAAGAGCTCCAAGTTCGGGGGGGTCGAAGTCAGCTTCGCATATCTCATCGACGTCGGTGTCGGCAAGATGGATGGCCCGAGGCCGGCCCCATTCAAACGCGCAGAGGGTATCATGGAGGAAAAGGGTCCACCACGTCTTCTTCCACTGCAACCGATGCTGTCTGTCTGCTCGCGCAGCTCCAAGATCTCGGTGCAGCCCGAGGCCTTGGGCAATGCGCACAGCAATGCCCAGTGATAGCCACATGTTCTGCACGGTGTCGTCACAGCTGTCGCAAGTATATGTGCTGAAGAGTAAATGCGCTATAATTAGTGTGAAGCGGTCCTGCTCAAAACGGTGGTAAACGAGGGCATGAGCCCGGGCAAATAACCGCTTTGAGATTTCTTCGGCTGGCAGCTTCAATCGAGGATGTTGCCACACTGTCGAGCCGGAGAGGAGAACGGCCTGGATGAGCAGCAGCGGGGGGCCGTTTCCGTCGGCTGAGAATGGCCGTAGGTAGGACTGCCGGAAGTTCGCTTGATCAATAATAGGGATGGTAGGATGGACGCGATCAAAAAAGGCTCTAATGAAGCCATTGGCGATCTCCGCATCGGGGAGAATGAACGCGCCACTGTGGTCGAGCATTGTTCGCTCGTCCTCTGTGATCATACGGGGGATGCTCCCATTAGAGCGCTTGATGAATGGGGCATCGCGGAAATGATGGACGTTGGGCCGAAATCCTTTGCCAAAGGTCGGCCCAAGAAGACGCACATTATTGGCGTAGTCATCTATGAAAGTTGCTTGGTAGTCTCCGACGGACCCTTGATCAAAATCCTGAGACAGGAACTCAACAAGGGTTGAGTCTGACTGGGATATGTCCTTCTCTCCATATTGAACGCATATGGTCCGAGGCTCATTGTCACCATCACCAAGAGTTTTGTAGCTGCAGCTCCGAGTGGACTGGACTAGCTGCGTATTTGGCGACATGGCTGCTTCAGCAACTTTAATACGACGCCTCTTCGGTTGCAATTCACGGCATGTCAAAGAGGACCTCTCGCATGGTGAGCATGGCGACCCATTCCTGACGAGGTCGCAGCGAATCTTTCTAGCACGGCAGCTTGTACACGCCCGGGGCTTGGAGCTTCCTACACGATGTCAATTAATTCAACGAGGACAATTAACTGTGATTTGAAGAGGCCATACCATGGTGGGAGTATAGCTGGAATGTTTCAGTATCACCATAATGTGTGCTTTGAGAAGTCATCTCTTTTGTTCCTTTCAACAACTCACATGGAAAACGAGAGTTGGTACGCGCATTCGTCCTGCAGTTCTGCTCTGGGGGGGGATCTGGAAGGATTTGCGGGGGACGGGGGTTTGTGGAGGCAACAAATGCTCATTCAGAATTAATGGTGGAGGGGGTTATTGGATAAATGCCTGGACAAGCAGCCTACTGAGTGGACCTAGAGTTCGACAAGGGTTTTGATGCAAACAAAGAATGTATATTCACATACAAATTATATGGAAGGATACATCTCGTTATTTGCATACCGAATGGGTCTGTACGGATACAGTCATAGGCCGACCCCCCCACACACACACACACAACATGGGATCAATTCAACAATCGTGACCCAAGTGCCCCCTGAACAGACCTGGAAGTCAACAGGTTCAAACTAACAAGCAAGATACTTTTGGCGGCTGGTCCTTTTATGTTGCACAAATTCTTGATGTAGGCGAGCAACCATTAGGTAAGGGAAGCATAGAACCACTCTACTCCTAAAAAAAAGAGTCGGGATATTGTTTGTTTACGAAGTGCTTTTCGTAGGGTAGATAAAAATATTAAACTGAATTTCTCAATTTCTTGCCTAGAAACTTAGAAGGTGATTGCTGTTTGCGAAAATAACCTTTAATCGACTTATTTACACTGGAAAACAATATGCAATTATAAGCTCTTTATAGCTACTGTAAACCGAGGGCAGCAATACTACTCATTACTTACCCCATCATGTTATCGATGTATCTCAGAGCCACTGGAAGTCTTCTGCTTTAGCTCTGAGTTGAAAGCTAAGTCGATACCAATTTCCGTTTTCTAAGACATATATGGTTAGTTTCGCTGCCCGAAGCCTCGCTCGAACAAATGACTCACGGGACCCTTGTATGATTTACGACCATGTGTTGCCCAGTAAACTGTTGAGAATATCACGATTGTGCCAATAATAACGGAGCTGTAATCTGTGTCTCAAGCGTCAATACAAATCATTTGATCTTAGAAAGATGACAATCTCACTCATATTTCCTGCCGTTGCTGGCATAGTAAATGGCATGTTGAAGAAGATTACCATAAAAACAATCCAGATGAGCGCGATTGAATTGAGGACTGGGCCGAGGACGTTTCCCAAGGGGAAAAGTGATGGCTTGAGATGCTTGCGACGTCCGAATAGCAACAAAGCAATGGGAAATGCGAAGGATATATTAGCAAGCAAGACGTTGCAGCCCACCAATGCGTTGAATGCCGTTGAGCTTCCGAGGTAGACACAGCCTAGAACGGCCACAATGAACCAGCAAAGGAGGGCCGCCTTAACTGGGACTTTGCGTCTGGGATGGATTGATTGAAGTCTAAGGTACGTTGTTAGCCCACCATGACACAAACGATTGGGGTGCGATGAACGGCCTGCGAGTTTTAAAATATACACATGACGTCGACTATAACTCACTGATTACTGTAGGGCAAGGCACCATCTCGAGCAAAGGCCCAGATCAAGCGGTTTGCGGTTTGCTGGGAGCCAATGACTGCAGCGCAAGCGAGATACAACATGATGCTCAAAAGGAAGATGGATACAGCTTTGCTTCTGGTGGCTTGGTAGAAGATCTCAAGGCTCGGGACTCCGGTGGTCGTGGCGAGGACTGCGTCAATGTCGCGAATGCAAAATGATATTGTGATACATGTGACAATCATTGTGAAGAAGCCGATGCAAACTGTACTCATGATAATGAATGGAAGGTTTCGACGCGCATCTAAAAGAGGATATATGCATCAGAAATTAGTTCAATGAGTACGTGATAACTTGTATTTGTGACTTACCCTTCATCTCTTCGGCCATATGGACGGCGCTATCAAGGCCACCGTAAGAAAAGGCTGGCGCTGTGAGACCAACGATAAAGGCAACACCGTCCGACTTCCAGCCCGTCCCATTGGTGAAGGTGCTGAAAACAAACTGTACTGAATTTTTAGGATAGGCCGAGCCAATCATGGTCATGTTGACAACAAAAAATGCAGTGATGCAGATGTAGAAGCCCATGCTATGGATGATGGGCAGGACTTTTTGCGCGTAGATATTGATAAGGGTGAAAATTAAGTTGAGGCTTTCATAGATGACAAAGCCCTGCCAACGTGCATATTCGATATCAGGATGCTTCAAAATTATCATCGCCATAAGGAATTGACCGAGAACAATGGTGATGGAGGCGCTAACGACGCACCAGCCGATGACATTGAAGTATCCGCAATACCAACTCAAGACCGCGCTCCATCTTTGAGGTGCAAGCTCGGCAGTCCACTTTCAATTTGAAATTCAAGTCAGCGGTTGCCGTATGGTCTTGAAGAAAAGCTACTTCCAACTCACATGGTACTGGCCACCGGAAGTGGGATAGGAACTCGCAATTTCAGCCAAGGAGGCTGCCACAGCGAGAGTTAGAATGGTAACGGCAATAGAACCGTATATCAACATAACCTGGATTAATGAGTATATTAGCATCCTATGTATTCGTTCCGCTAATCGTTAAGAACCATGGGTTTACTTACCGTGCCACCGCTGGAAATGCCGGCAGCAAGGGAGCCAATTATCCCGGACCATGAGTCCACAATCATGAAAGAAAAGGCAAGGAGGGCAAAGCGACTATAGTTACGTTCCAACACAGGCTTGTGTCCAGTCAACTGCATCAGGTCCAGGTCATCATCGGCTATTGGTTCCTGGGGTTTCAACGCTGTGGATCCCGCCTCCGTGGCAGCAGTTTGCTGAATCGACCCCATTATGATTCAAGAGACTTCTTCTCTTCTATGGATTTGATAAATTTGGTATAATCAACTTCAAAGCCAAATCTCAGGGACGTGTCGATCTTTATTCGTGCGTATGATAAGACAAAAGGAGAGATCGAATCGAAGCCACCGTATAGAGTGATGATACCCTTTAACTTTATAGTGCGAGCCGCACACTGAGGAGACTACCGGACACTGTGGTTAAGTTATGGATTGAGTAAAATATTAAAATCGGTGATGACTCGGTCAGATATCGTCACTGAAAACATGGTATTTGGTCAATTGGAAAGCATTGAAATGCTGATCAAGCGCCGTCGTAATATCGGAGTCATAACGGGCCACACGCGCGCATCTGCAGCGGTTTCCTTCACCGGAGCTTCAACGGAGCCCCAACGGAGCCTTAACGGAACTAAAGCGGAGACCGGGTGGGTGGAAACTGTCATGGAAAGAAACTAGCACCACTAGCCCCCCTTTTTAGAACTCATCCAGATTTGTGCCAAGTTATAACCGGCTAGCCTATTTTTCAAAAAAAGCTCCATTATGAGTTCACGCATAGCCAGACATATCCTCGCGACGAGTGCACATTCTGATCATGGATTGTCACTAGGAAACAAGGTTACCCAACTTTAGAGACTAATCAAATTCCAACTCATAAACTCAGTCTCGGTCTCATGTAGATAGATCTGTCACATACTTATACCGAATTTTGACCTAGGTGCTCAATCAGAGGCCCAATGCCTTCTAATTACTACCAAGGTTTCAATTGAACGAGCTACGTATAGTTAGGTCGCAACTTATAGTAGAACACATGCATTACATTGAATCTAGCCAACAATACACAGGGTGTAACAAGAAGAGTTTAGGGTCAATTATCACAATTTATTCTTGTTTTCTGTTAGTTTCATGTAGACCAATCTCCAAGAAATGCAAGAGAGCATTCTTCGTAATCACAGCCACGTCATTATCGTAGTTGTTAAAGCCCAGCGCGCAGTACCAGCTAATACTGCCCACTGAGAATACCGCTCCTCCCCCACAGGTCTCATAGTATGTCATGTCGGACCGTATCAAGTTCGTTTGCGTCCCCAGCACTTTTGTCATCGGGAAGCCAGCATCCTCTGGGAAGAGTCCAAATGTGTCCGGGTGTCCTGTGGAGGAGCCAAGAATGATAATGTTGCTAGGTGACCCGTACTTGAAGTCGACGCGGTCAATCTCGTCTGCAGAGGCACCACCTCCAAAACCGCCGAGAGCGTTGCGACCAAAGACGAAATTGTCTGAGGGCGTGGAAGCATCAAGGAGGCCCTTGAATACCCATTCTCCTAGCTTGGGATGCTTCTCTTGCAGATTCGAGTTTATACAATACGGGACGCCAGCACCGGCACCTTCACCACAGCAGCCAATTCCGACGAGGTGGTTGGCTGCCTTTCCAAGATCTCTCCACAAGCCGCCCATCTGGCCATTAACGGCGTGATGTCGTTCACCTGGCTCCTGATACGACGTCCGGACCCCTTGCCCCCCGCGCCTTAGCTCTATGCGATGAGGATTGGCCGGCTTTAAGGCGATCGACCAGTAGAAGCCGTTGCCGCCAAGATACATGAGATTACCCCCATCACGGACATAATTTTCATAGGCCTGATAGGAGTCTAGACTCTGATATTCAGGATGACACCCAGTAATAACAACTCTGTAGTCCCTCAAAGCATCGACTCCTTGTGCATGAAGATCATGGTCAGTGATAATGTCATATTCAACACCGAGCCGCTCCATATAGCCCTGCATTATAAGCTCGGCACTCAGCTCACGGGGCCTATGACCGGTCCAGTTGACGTAGTCTGGACGACAGTTGAGCAATGGGCGCTTCGCCGAGGAGTGCATAACGGCACTCCAGTCGCGGTGGACATCGTAGCAAGAGAGACCGAGGTCGCGACGGCGGTCTTGTTTATAGAAAGTCTCGTCCTTGTAAAACTCGACCGATTCGAGCCCCCCCGGGACCTCAGCACGGGCGGGAGTATCCGGATCGAACTGATGCTCGTTGGCATAAGCAAGGTAAGTGAAGGTTGACATAACAAGGGCTGCTTTGGGTGTTGGCTTCTAGGCAGGTACTTAGATTAGGAAAAAAGAAGAATCTTCGCAGAAGAATGACGGAAGCGTTCATGGAATGATATAAACATACCTTTAATGGCTGTGTTCTAAAAGGACGGACGAAGAAAACAACTGTATCATTCACCTCGGATGATGTACTCTGAAGTTCGATACCATAGACACCGGAACGAGTATCGGTAGGCACAGTGAGGGTGAAGTCAGTCTCCCACGCCGCATCGTCCAGATCATCCTCATGGAAGTGGATAGCTCCATATCCATACCGGGCCTTGGTCCAGTCTATCTCTGTACCATCCCAGTCATGCCCCTTGACAGCACGACTCGGCGCGTTCACAAGTGATCCATGGCGGCCTGCCCCTGAGAGGTCCCTGATGTAATCGCTCGAAATGTCAATGGAAAAGTCATAGTGAGCCAGGACACGGCGACGCGGTCCCAAAGCCTCAAAATGAAATACGTCCAGACGTCCGTTGAAATGGCTCTTAGGAACTGGTGAAGATCGCTGGGGACTTGTAGCAAAGGAAGCCGCAAGAAGTAGCTCTGTGGAGGCACTGGCCTTGGCTGTATTGCTCAAGCCTGCTTTGAAGGATGCAGCGGGCGCAGGAGGGGACAGCCCCTGAACAATAGGCGTAAACTTTGCATTGACGCTGTATTTGCGCACCTCCAAGTCGATCTTTAGCCACTTCTGCTTCTCTGGGGTAAATTCTGAGGTGAGACATTCAACCTTGCCGTTGCCCACCCCTACCCAAATTTCCACCACTCCAACGGAATTGAGAACTAGAGCGACACCAGTTCCTGTCGTGACATCAAGAGTAGAGGCCAGGGCTTGTGCGTGGTCGCAAGACAAAACCCATGGCTGCGTATAGAATGACCAGGCTACGCCCTCGTCGTTCTCCGTAATACCTATGTTTGACACCCTAGCGTAAGACCCGGGATTCGCGAGCTGGAATCGACCGGGACAAACACCCCCAGGGATTCCGTTGACGGGCTGTGAAATTGCGGGTGGCCCGTTTGAACACTCGTAACCTTGTATGATCCGGACTGTCCGGTGTAAATATTTTGCTTCTGTACAAGATACCTAAAGCGCCATAATATCGCATTATTAATATGACCTTCTCTTCAGAGCACACACATAACATACCTTGACATCAATCTTATCCCCTGGACTCACGATCCATGGTTGTGGATAGCCGATGATCTCCTTAGGATAGTCTACTGGGACAGGGTGAATAGTAGCCATCCTGTCGGGATCCTTCTAATGCTCAGTTCTCATGAGTAGCCAAGAGAGAGAATAAGCAGTAAGAAGAGGTTAAAAAAAGAATTAATTGTTTCTTGTTATAGCAGTGTTTTCTAGCCGCAAATAAGTATGAGACGCATAGGCAAGGAGAGTTTTTTCTTCAAATACGATGCGGGGTAACAGCGGTGGCAAATGTCCGATAATAGCTAGATTACAACGGTTTCTAAAACTTGCGGCGCCGACCAAACACCGACCGGCATCACAGCTACGCTCATTCGGAGTCACCTAAGTATCACCGAATGTATCACTGAAAGAAGCAATCCTTCTCAGATCTCCATATCTCCATATACCCGAACTTTCATTCGGTCAATAGGAACGTAGAAGTCTCCCGTCTAACGACAGCGGACAGCCAGCTTCCGAGCACCGGTAAGGATGGCACCGCAGCAAGCAAGCAACGCTATCAAAACAAGCTCGGTTATGCATTTTCCCACCAAGCGTACGATGCAGAATTAAAGGAAACTACTTTGAGCCTGGTTCTTCCTCTAAGAGCGCAATCAGTGCAAACTCTGCCATCGACTTTGTTACCCCTTCCTACGATGAGCTGGTGTAAGGAGTTACGAGACGAATAATTCATTTTTTAATCAGACGACGACGGCTTTCATACGTGCAATATCCTGATTGTAATTCGTATATAAACATTCAACCAACGGGGGTTCGGTTTTCTCTACTGCCTTGGTACTAGATCCAGGATTCTCTGAAAGAGCTTGCCATCTCCCTAGGCAGGCATAAGCAGCAATGTTGAGACAATCAGTTTGCGGTTGTTGTTTCCTCTAGTTTCTTGTGCGCGACTCGCTTAGCATTCCTCGGATCCAACACAACCAATGGGTCCTTGAAGTTCACCCAACCCAACATAGGCTGTTAGACACACACGTTAGATATGATGTACCAATCACGAGAGGTTCACAAGTACGATAGTGAATTTAGAAAAAGGGAACATTTTAACAAAGGGACTGGGCGGGGGCACTCACATCGCTAGTAGCGTAACCCATCAGCTTCTGGATACGGAGTGGCAGCTTCTTGGCCGTCTCTAGTGGCACAGCAAGATACTGATTTTCCTCCTGGCGCAGCCATCCTCGAGTCATGAAGCAGCTGAACAGAAGCCGCTCCTCGTCCTCGGTCCTGTTGGCACTGCCGCCGTGATAGCAGCTTGACAGCATGATGAACCCATCACCGGGGTTTAGCTCGGCGTAGTGAGCAAAAGCCTCGTCTGGTGGCTGCAGTGTCGCCTCGAGGTGGCTTCCTGGTATGAAGCGCGTGGCGCCGTTGGCCTTGGTCGTCTTGGTGCCCGCCACAAAGAAACCAATGCCGTACTCGCGCGAGTTGGTCGGCTGGGGGTAGATGTCCACGCGGGGACGGTCGGCATAGTGGATATCGTCGTCGCGATGGAGTGGCTGGTTGAAACTGTTTCCTGGGCGGACGGAGAATGCGATGGTATTGTTGACTTGGGGAGGAGACACATTAAGCTCATTGCGATCCCCGTAGTAAGGGTAGGACTTGGTCGCCAGGAATCGGTCGCAGACAGTTTGGTAGAGCTCGTTGCCAATGATGTCTGTGGCGAAGGCTCGAGATTTGCCAATAAGCCCAAACGCCCGACGAGTCGTGGGCGGGAAGAATGTCGATGCCGACCATGGCACGTCAGCCTCAAGAGCTGGTCGAATGTCCTTCTCCATCTGTGCGAGGGAGTCGGAAGTGACAATTTGACGCACCACACAGCCTCCCACTCGCCTCAGTGCTTCAATGACATCCTCAGGGTCAGCATCGGTATTGAATATGGGAACATCCAGTTTTTGACGAGGCGGCCATTGGGTGTCGTGTGCCTCTTGAATGCGATCAAGCGAAATGAAAGCATCTTTGAACTCCTTGGTAGGAGGGGGGATTTTGTCGTTGACCTGATGGTTGACAGTACCGTTGGCACCGTTAGAAGGGTGTCCGCTTAGTTGGGTGGCCATTGTGAATGAGTGAAGCTATAGAAGAGCAATGAAGTGGTTGTAAGCACTCAGGGATAGGTAGGTATGGGTAGAGACAGTTGTTTGCAGTTTCTACAATGGGACACAGCGGCTGAAAGGATGTTTCTTAAATCAGCGTAAAAATGTAGACAAGTCATCTTGTCAGACCATACATGTGATTGCTAGATTGCCACATCCGAGGTTTGTATAACTTCTAATAGGTAGAATAGTAATATATGACGCCATCAGTTTCCATTCGTTCGAAATCCCGCGATATCGTCCATTCCGGGGCAGCGGCTTCGGTGGGCTCCTCGTCGGACGCGTTGAAGCGAGCAGGGGTAGCTCGGCGTTCCGTCGGCTGGAGAACGGAAGCTTGGCGGTTCGACGGGGCTTGGGCGGGAGTGTGAACGAAGGCTTATTAGGCTTCGCCCTGACTTCAGTGGCCCGACCCTGTTTTGGTTTAATGGGTCTGGGGAATGAATCGTGGAGACGCTGGGGATAAGTGGGTTCGCACAACCTAGGCGACCGCCGATGCCACCTCAATGATGTTCTCATGTCTACCGTGGTACTAAATCATGCATCAAACAAATATGTGACTATATCTATCATACCCCATCTGCACTTGAAACTTGAACAAAAGTCAGCAGCAATTCCTTCAACCTCCCCCATCCATTTACTTCCCTGGATAAGGACATCACTCCTACTATTTGAGCCTGGAGTTGCAATTACCTACCCATCATGGCACTCAAGATCTTAACAGAGGGTCGTCTCCCGGTGACCCGCCCTTTCAATCAAAACTTCATTATGGGGATGTAAGTATCCAATTTCTAATGGAGAAACATCACCTCTCCTGACAATTATTGAATCAACAGGATCCTCTTCTGCATTCCTGGAATCTACCTCGCTCTCACTGGCCTCGGAGCAGGCGGTGGTCAAGCATCCTCGCAGAGAGTTGCATCTCTGACCAATGCGTATTATGGCCCTACTCCTTGATAAAATGATTCTATTACATTATTTTCTGACATATGTTTTCCAGTATTCTCTATGGCATCTACGCCGTTGTTGGGTGGTGTGCGGGCTCGATCCTAAATTATTTGAAGCCCAAGTACACAATGTGAGTCGTCACTACCGCTAATCTACTGACATACTTTTGGAGGCTGTACTAACAAACGAGTCCCAAAGTGCCCTCGGTGCCATCGGCTACCCTTTCTACGTTGGCTCGCTGTGGTACTATGACCGCGGTGGCAGCTTAGTCTTCCCGCTGTTTAGTCAGTCCTACCCGCTGATCTTCTCTCAGTGCTTGGAAGTAGCTAACTTGCTTCTGTAGGCGGTGCATTGCTTGGTATCTGTGCCGCTCTTTTCTGGACGAGCTCGGGCTTCATTCAGTTTGCCTATGCTGAGGAAAAAGACAAGGCCACGTACATCACTTACCAATGGGTCCTCTCATCCCTGGGAAGCACAGTGGGTGCTCTCATTGCTTTTGGCGCAAACCGTGACGGGCAGACATCTGGCGGCATCTCCTCCGGAGTTTACGTCGCTTTCATTGTTATTATGTGTTTGTATGTACTTGGTCGAATGCTTCCTTAATGGCTTTGGAGGGGCCAAAAAACGGTCCGAGGTTCATCAAGCTAATGAAGATATTAGTGCCATCGGAATGGACTTTCTCCTCATCGTGGATCCAAAAAATGTTGTCCGAGACGATGGCTCACATATTGCCATTTTTAAGAAGCCCAAATTCTGGGACGAGGTCAAAGGTGTCGCGTCTGTCCTAACCGATCAGAAGATCGTCATTCTGATGCCAGCCATGTTTGTCGGAGAGATGTGTCTGGCGCTTGTGAGCAGTATCAATGGTGAGATTCCCAAAATTCAAAGACATAGACAACCTTTTTGAACGATGAAATCCTTACCTGTTGTCTCTTGCCAGGATATTACTTCAACCTCCGAACTAGATCGCTCAACAACCTGGTCTTCCAAGCCATCATGATCCCAGCACCCATCATCCTGTCTTACATCATTGACAATAGGCACATAAAGTCTCGACGCACCAAGGGTCTTTGTGGCGCCGCTGCCGTGGCTCTCGTCACGATTGGCGCCACGGGTGGCCTCCTGGCCTGGATAATCACTAACGATATCGACCGAACCAAGCCGACTCCAGCGGTGGACTGGACAGACCCGTCCTTCGCTGCTGGATTTTTACTATACATCCTTTTTGGAGTTATATACGCATGCTTCCAGATCGCTGTTCAATGGACTCTCGGTTCCCTAACAAATGAGCCAAGCCTCTGTGCTCGGTATGCCGGTGCTTTCAAGGGAACTGTTAGTCTCGGCATGTGTATCTCATTCATCCTCGACTCCGAGGGTATCAGCTTCCGATATCAGGCCATCATCCAGATGATCCTCTATGTCCTTGGCCTCCTCTGCCTCGCTTACGTCATCACAGTTTATGTTAAGGAGACAAACTACTTTTCTGAGGAGACGGTCATAGTTCCCGAGTCCATTAAGAAGAAAATGGTGATTCAAGCTGACGTGGAGGTTCCACCCGGTGAGATTGCCAATTCACACCCTGGCAGCATGAAGAAGACCTAAAATTAGTCACCAATAGAAGCGTGCGGTGGTGTGGAGGGCAAAGGGTTAGCTTGAAGGCTATGGACCCTGGGGGTTTCATGAGCGGAAGTAGATGCCTACTCTCTTTATGCCTTGCAATCAGAGCTTCGCTCTTTCCGAGGCCCACGATGCATTTTCATGTTCCCTATTTAGTAGCATAACCCGGACCATGGTGGCAGCTATCCCAGAACTGGGACGTGCTTACAAGGTCCCAGTTTTGGGACGTCTCGCGACCACTGTTAGGCTCACCATAATAGAGCTCCAGCTAGGCCCCGAGGATGCTGTCGATGCCTCTTCAAATGTAATCTCTCGTTCATATCTTTCAATGCGCAAAATTTCCCTCACTTCCTCAATCTCTACTTTCTTCCTTGCTAGGATGAAGCGCGGCCCAGAGGAACTTACATGGCAACCATCACCTAAACGGCGCCGCCGACTCGAAGAGGGCAAGCCTTACGACTGGTCTGAGGCTCTTGGCACGGAGGGCAAGTGTTTCCGCGGAAGGAACAATAAGGCGAGATAAATCCTGGATGACCCTAGCCTCATTCTTGCCCCGCAAATTCCGACAAGCATCCACAAAAACTTCATCGTCGAAGATTGTTTCACCAGGAATTGTTTGTTCGCCGTTGAGGAGGTCCTTAATAAGGCTCTTGCTACTAGAAAGATCAAGACGGAACAGAGGGGCCATTTCACTACGACAATGCCACATGGCGTTGCGATTTTGGTGGACGCCAGCGTAACCACGATCACCAAGCCATAATTCGGGATTACGTCAGTATTGAACGAGCCACCCCTGGGAATACCGAGACCTAAGGGTCGGTTGTTCTTGCCTACCCTATATTTTGGACCATATGAGTATATCTCTGATAATAAATGCTTTACCACTTGTTGACAGGAGAGAAAGTGCGGATAAGTTCATCAAGGAGAAAGTAATACTATTTAGTTTTCATTTGACTGAGGTGTAGATATTGAAACAAGCAGCTCAACAAAAGTCGGTCCTCAGTAATCAAAATTACCCTATAAGTCGTTCTCAACTCAAAATGTGCTTGGCTACCGACATCATACAACGTTCATCGAAGAGTCGACGCTCGACCATCCGGCTCTCCCAGCAGCTAGATTCTAGTCTTATTAACGAGGAATGGAGACGATCACCCAAGGTCGCCATCATGGTCTGTAATCTGGTTACAGCCAATTATAAATGTCAGTGGCGATATACATAGTGAGCTGGGTAAGAAGGTATCTGCTTTGATAATACCGCAGGCTACCCTAAGTTGAAGCAAGAAGGTCAGTACGAAACAAAAAGATCATGAAACATTTTGTGTGGGATGGCTCTGAACATAGTTTTCTTGCTTTTTTTGGTGGCTGCTGCTAGTGTCTTACCATACTAACCTTTTGATCGCGCCTCCGTATCTTTAGAGTGTGATTGGACGTGCTTGCTGAATGGTGTGGCAGCCATAAAATGACACCTTCTGCGACTTCTGACTGCGGGGCGGTATTCAAGTGTGTCTTAGAAAGGCTTCAGTCAAGACAGCAATTTACAGTATGGTTTTCTCCCGCTTTAAAAAGCCTGCGAAGGAAAGAGTCATTGTGAGTAAGCCCAAATTGGATAATTTAGCAATCCCTGCCAGCTCGATATAAGGAACAATAGCGGGGTGATTTGACGTTGAAAGAGTTGTGAACTGCGGGCCTGCGTTCTATGAAGTATGAATGGCCCACATTAGACGTTGTCTGTGCCACGGCTTACCACATCAGAGTTTTCACCAGGCGCATCCGATCACACGCTTGGGATGGGAAAGTTACCAACCTTCTTTCGTCTTGGTCGATTTGGTTGGCCACCATTATCACTCCGTAACAGACTCAAGCCACTGGCTACCATTACATTTAGCGGGTTTGGTGGCACGATGCGACTCAAGATGTACAAATTACGTGCGAGATGCCGACCCAGCCGAAAAGCATCCACGTTCCACCTCTGCCATCCTCACTTCTGAGACTTTCTGCTGCTCCTTTTCCCAATTACAATCTGGTAAAATTGGCTAAGAGGATGGGTATGCAAAAAACTTCCAAGGAAAGCATGGCCGGAGCTGGTCAAAGTACTTATGACCCGGACGACGTCCTCGTTATTGTATGGGCACCGTGGGCACCGTACTGCTGAATTATGGCCGACTTCGCTAACATGTCAGTGCCAGGTCTGCTCGACATTAGCTCTGTACAATGCTTTCGAGCTCCTCGCCCTCATTTTTATGACTTTTAAACGATACAAGAGCCTTTACTTTTGGAGCCTTTGTTTTGCATCATTTGGCATCCTCCCTTACTGTATTGGCTGGTTTGTTGCTTATTTCAAACTTACCTTTCTCTGGGTTGGTATGATTTTCGCTCAAATTGGATGGGCTCTACTAGTATCAGGCCAATCCATGGTTCTCTATTCCCGATTGCACCTGGTTCTTAACGATCCTAGCATACTTCGCATCGTCTTGTGGATGATAATCCTGAACGGTCTCGTTTGGCATGTCTCGATTACAGTCCTAGTATTCGGGTCAGTTTACAGCCCCGCGCAAAGCCAAGCTGGATTTAACTCTGTCTTCAACGTCCTGGAAAAAGTCCAGATGTCCTTTTTCTGCCTCCAGGAGTTCATTCTCTCCGGTCTCTATATCTGGAAGGCATGGGATATTCTTAGGACAGCCTTAACCAGCCAACAACGACTTCTACAGCAGCTTTTTGCTATCAACGTCTTTATTATGGTTATAGATGTTGCACTTCTTGTTATCGAATATAAGAGCTTATTTCTCTGGGAGCAAGGTGTTAAAGCTGTCACCTATTCTATCAAGCTCAAGCTCGAATTCGCGATATTGGGCCAGCTTATCGAGTTCATGCAGCGTAGGGACAGCGCTAGTCCTGGTGGACAATCAAACTATACTATATCTAACCCTAACATTTCAAGGATATATGTATAGACATTACATACATTCCAATATTGGATAAATGTAGAGTAATGAAGATAGATGGATATAGATGGGAAAAGGCGCTTTATTAAATACTTAGACCCAAAAGGAGGGGCTGATTTCCCGGTTGGCTAGCCATCTCCGCCTCATGTGCAGGCATTACTCCCTCCTTGATGAAAGGCCTATCCATTCCCTGTGCACCAAAGCGTTACGCTAATGGCACAAGCTGCTCCGCCACGCTCTCCGTCCTATGCTCTTGTTTGAGAGATAGTCGTTGTAGTATCATGTGGTCCGCCTTGCAGAGCTCTAATTACCAACCTACATGGGTGTGACGGGGATTGCGACATCACCTTCAGCCCATATGTCGCCCACCTTGCTTGTGACGCCAGTGCAGGCTTACAGCGGTTCGGATGTCCGGCGTCACAACTCCAAATTTATTTGCATTTCTCAACGCCCGCATATTCTCAAGTCGGCTTCTGCTCAGGTTGGCCGACATCGGCTAGTCTATGAGATGCAGCCTAACAGCGGATCATCCGCTCCCTCATTGCTCAAAGCGTCTCAACTCGCCGTCTAGAATCGGCAAATTTCCATAAGCCGAGGGGATGGATGTGGGGTTTTGCTTTGGCACCACGCGGCTGTGTCATTTTGAGTAGCAATGACGGTGTGCGCAAGTCTGCTGACGTCACTGTGTCCAGTCTCCTACGGCAGTTTTGATAATTGTCGGACTCGCAACCCGGGGTCCCCCGGCCGCCAGTCGGCTCCGAATTTTTTGCCGCTGGCTGATCCGCTAGGGATAAGGAGCCTCTAGAGGTATCGCTTGAGCAGCTGGTGACTGGGCCAAGGTTGGCCATCAGCCGACCAACAGCGATGGCCGCACTGGGGCTAATAATCCCCATGGGATAGATGGTGGTCCTGAGTCACACCGGCCATGCAAAGCAGAAGCACTGTATGTTACCCCAGGTTCTTTGAGAGTCTGATAATTGCCCAAGTCATGGCTCTCTTGATCTGTGACCGCGTCTAAGATGTACTCCCCATGGTTCTCTAGTGTTGGCGGCTTAGGTGCCGGTTTCCTCCGTCTTTCGCAGACAAAATCTTTTTCTCCGTTAGTGACACTTGTATTCGTTTATTGATAAAGGGTAACTAACTGTATATTCCATCTTTGGATCATTAGAGCTAAGGTTAGGGGCAGTTGGAGAGGCTGTCTGCCGCTAATACGGTATTTACTTATTAATATCCATTTCGCTTCATCAAATTGCAGATTCTTTGTTCTACTTTGTCTCACTTTCCTCGCCGACCAACCTTAACTCAATTCTCTACACATTATTCTTCTATCATCGCCTACCCCCTTTTTGATTATCCCAATTGGCTCGATCGCAGGGTTTCGTATTGGCCACTTCCCCTTCATCCTCTTAGCGACCGCGGCCCTCCTTGGCCCCTAGTCAATATGCCGGCAGACGAAGAGAAGACGACCAGCCCTGAGATCACCAGTTTCTCTCAGGTTGGTAGCGTCGGAGTCGCCAACAACAGGGAACACTCCCCCGATTCGCACGGTCTGCATCGGCTGCTAAATAACCGGCAGATCCAGCTCATTGCTACCGGTGGCTCCATCGGGGCGGCTCTGTTCATCAGCATCGGCCCCCTGCAGTCTGTTCATCGCTTATGTGTTTTACACCTGCGTCCTGGTCCTCGTGAATAACTCGATTGCTGAAATGAGTACATATATGCCTGCGTCGGGCGGCTTCATTCGTCTTGCTGGCTACTGGGTTGATGCTTTGGGGTCCGTTGCTGGCTGGAACTTCTTCTTCTATGAGGCCTTACTCATTCCATTCGAGATTACGGCTCTTAACCTGGTCATATCCTTCTGGAACAGTAACGTCACAAGCCCCGGACCTACAGCGGGCATCTGCGCTGCTGTTATCGATTGCTATGCGTAAGGTTTCTTTCCTAATAACTGAGCCGTCCTCCTATATCACAATCTGCCAGTTATGGTTACAGCCCGCGAATATTCACTCTCAGATCCGCCTCGTCGCGTTCAAGCTTGTAGCAAGGTGCTGACATGTGTGTTATACGCAGCATTTTCAATATTCTTGCGGTGAAATACTATGGAGAAGCTGAGTTCTGGCTTTCTGGGGGGAAGCTCATCCTGATCTCATCCTCTTTGCCTTCACCATTATTACGATGGTCGGCGGCAATCCTAAAGGCGATGTATATGGGTTCTGCCACTGGAGAAGCGTTAATGCCTTCGCCGAATTCCACACTGAGGGCGATCTCGGCCGCTTTGAAGGGCTTCTAGCCGCCCTGTGGAACGCCGCATTCACCATTGTTGGCCCTGAGTACATTTCTATGGTGGTCGCTGAAGCTACACACCCTAGCGTGTACATCAAGTCTGCCTTCAAAACAGTCTACTATCGATTTTGCATCTTCTTTATTCTCGGCGCGCTTACCGGTGGTATCGTGGTCCCTTATAACAATCCAACTCTGGTCAACATCTACTTTGGGACCGGCGAGGGCGGCGGTACTGCAGCTGCATCACCCTACGTTATTGCTATGGAGAATCTAAGCATTCATGTGCTCCCGCATATTGTTAACGCTCTAATTCTCACGTCGATCTTTTCGGCTAGCAATATATACACATATTGTGCTACACGGTCACTTTACAGCCTAGCGATTGAGGGTCGTGCCCCTCGATTTTTATACTACTGCAATAATAGCGGCGTACTGATCTATTGCTTCTGTGTTGTTATGCTGTTTCCTTGTCTATCATTCCTTCAAGTTGGTAATAGTTCAGCAAAGGTGCTGACCTGGCTTGTCAATATTGTCACCGGGGGGGTCTTATTACCTTCCTTATTATGTCTATCACATTTCTCAACTATTACCAAGCGTGCAAGGTCCAGGGCATTGACCGGAAAGAGATGCCATACTATGGATACTTCCAACCTTTCGGCGCCTACATTACCATTGCCACCCAGTTGGTTATCCTCATCTCCTATGGATACAGCTCCTTCACTCCCTGGAATATTTCTGATTTTCTCGCCAACTACACGATGCAGCTTGTGGCTCCATGCTTCTTCATCGGTTGGAAGGTTATCAAGAAGACACGTTATATCAGACCCAACGAGGTAGACCTCATTTGGAAGCGACCCGCGATTGATGCCTATGAGAATTCCATTACAACACCACCACTTGGCTTCTGGACTGAAATAATCGGCTTAGTGGGCTTCAGCCGGGCAGAGAAGTCACAAGCTGACGCTTGGGGCGGCAGAAGCCCCTTCCTGTGACTATCTTTGGGGTCCTAGAATCTTTGGCAGATACGGAAGGTCCACAGCAGGCGACAGCAGCCCTGGTGGTAGCAGTCGGGTAATGGAGACGTCCCAAAAGTCCCAATTCGAAGCTAGAGCTCCTTCATCAGCATCCCCCACATATACCAATTCAAGTAACCCCTTTGCAATGGCTACGTGGTTAAAGTGCTTGTAATCATTATTGTAATTGTAGTTATGCATAATTCTATCTCGTTTAAGGGTTCAAGTACCTAATTGTTGATTATGATTGACATTTCGGGCATGGTACAGCGACCTCGACGTAACAGGTGCCTGAGAACGAATTCAACCCGGCTGAGATCTTGTCCTTCCCCATACGGGAAAGGGATTCTCTCCCAGCCGTACTTCTACCCAAGAGAGGCTTTCGGAAAGTATATAGCCACTTGCTAAAGGGCAACCTTACTGGCAGATTTATCCATCTTAGGTCATCTAGTACAGCTACATCAGGACCAAAAGCTAGGCTGTTTGGATGGCTTAGACATTGCAGCGGAGTGTGCAGACCATTTTCTCGCCGGCCTCGACACAACTAGCGACACCCTCATGTTTCTTATCTGGTCTCTGTCTCAGCCGAAGAATAAGCAGTTTCAGGAAAAGCTGAGACAAGAAGTTCTTGAATTACCCCCGGACTCTCTTAATGACCATGGTTTTCCAAGGGCGGATGCAAGCGACAAGTGCCAGTATCTACATGCTATCGTCAAAGAAACTACGACTATATGCACCATTACCCACTTATGAGCCTCGGTCTTTACCTTTTAAGTCCATGATTGATGGATACATTATTCCACCTAACACTATTGTCGGCATATCGCCCTATACCCTTCATCACAATCCGCAAGTTTTTAAAGACCACCGAGCCTTCAACCCCGATCGCTGGCTGGAACCAGACGCAGTTGATCTGAATCGATGGTTCTGGGCGTTCTCGAGTGGCGGTCGGATGTGCATTGGCATGCAGTAAGTTCATATTTTTAATTTTAAAAATCTTCCTTCAGTGCTACTGGCATCAATTATTTCCAACAGCGACTCTCATTCACTATGTACCTGAGAACAAGTACTCATCGTGTAACAGCCTCGCCATGGCGGAAATAACAACGTTAGCTGCCACGATATATCGGAAATACGAGACCTCTCTCGCCCCAGGATTTGAAGATTGTAGTCCCGGAGTTACTGCCCGATGCGAGCTATTTTTCGATGATCGATTCCAGAATGTGCAGGTGAGTTCTTGATATAAATTCACGTCAAACCGGGACCTGCAAAATTAACTACTACTGTTTAGGAATACTGCTGTCGTATAAGATTTAATAATATTAGTAGTCAAGGCTTATTAAAGTAGCTAGATAGAAATCCTATGAGGATTATATTAGTATTCCCTAGGAGTAAGTCTGTACTAGAACTATCTTAGTCTGGAGCTTTATTAGATTAGACTAAAATACTTTCTAAGAGAAGGAGAATTTTAATTAAGCTTTTAAAGTTTAATATAGTATTTCTTATATAGGTTTTATAGAGAATACTTAGAATATATTCTTTTAATTAGTAAATAATAAATTCTAATATATAGAAAATAAAAAGAGTATTAATAATATATTATATATAGTAATTATAATCTAAAGATAGTAAATTCTACTATTTTACTATTTTAATAGTAACTATTACTTACTAGCTATTCTATTTATATAAATAAGATATATTATCTAGATTATCTCTAAATATATCTGATAACTTTTAATCTATAGTAAATATATATATCTTATTTCTTATAATTTATAATAATTATATCTATCTATAGTATAAGCTATAATTATTATTATTAGCTTTTTATCTCTTATAAGATCTTTCTTTTCTAAGTTTAAGATAGAGATAGAGAATATTAATCAGGATAAGGATAATACTTAATAGAGTAAGCCTGAGAAAGTAACTATCTAACTTACTATAAGTTTTCTCTAGTATTTACTATATCTCTACTTTCTACTATACTCTAATAAGTTTATTAAAGTCTAAGTTTAGATAGAATATAGATAGATAGATATAATAGTTAGTTAACTTATACTAGACAGGGTCTAGGGTAGATTAGAAATAAACTAATTAGAGTATTATTCTAAATAGTATAATTAGATTATTATAAGCTATATTATATAAGTTACTATTAATATATAAATATTATAAAGCTAGTAATAATAAATATATAAATAATATTATTAATAACTATCTAAAGAAAAGTTCTATTTAATAAAAGGAATATATATATATATAATAGGGAATTATTAATATTTAGTAATAATCTAGTATTCTGAATTATTAGAATTATTATAAGATTCTAATAATCTATTACTAATTAGTTAGAAAAGTAGGATTTTTTATATAACTTAATATATAATAATATAATTTATAATATAAGATTCTCTCTCTATTAATTATATTCTTAAAACTATATTCTCTAATTTATTAATAAATCTTTTCTAATTTAATTTTATATTTCGCTTTATAATCTATAATAATATCTAATTATATATAAAAAGCTTTCTATAGGAAAACTATTTAATATAATACTCTTATTAATATTATACTACTTAATCTCTTAGTAATATAAATAGAGTATAATTATTATAAATTCTATAGTTATAAATACTTTAAATTAGAAAGTTTTTTATTTTATTACTTTTATTATATTAAAAATAATTAATTATATTATAATATTTAAGATTTTATATTAAAATAACTAAAATATATTATTAATTAGTATAATAAGCTAGAGTTTAAGCTAGAGATAATAGAAAAGAAGTATTATTATATAAATATAAAAATTTAGTATTTTTATTAATAAAAGAACTTATAGTTAAATAAAATAATATAGATAGTATTCTATAGTATTAATAGTATAGAGAAATTAAAATATATTAAATAAAAAAAAGTAGAGAAAATAATTTAAAAATAAATTTTATTTCTAGCTATATCTTTATCTAAGTTTATATTCTTAGAGATTAAAATTAATTTAGTATTTCTTTAGAAAGATATAGAATTATTCTTTTTTTAATTTATTAGAATAAGTATTTCTAATTCTAATAATATTATTAAATAAACTATTAATAATTCTTTAAATATTTAATAAATTCTTAAGTATTATCTTTATTAATATATTCTTTTTATTTTACTAAATAAAAGATTTATTTATTTTTAATTTCTTTTTTTAGAACTTTTTTCTAATTTAAATTCTTCTTTATAGATTTTAATTAAATAATCTTAGTTTAATATATTTTTTAATACTTTTTTAAATAATAAGATATAAAAAACTAAGTAAATATATATTATATCTAGTAATAAGAGTTTATAATTAATATTTAATTTTTTCTTTAGAATTTTAAATAGTTTAAATTTTTTATAGTTTAATTTATTATTTAGTTTTATTATTATAATATTTTTATAAAATAAATAGATTTTATTTTATTTTTTTAAAATTAATTTTTCTAATCTATTTTTATTATAATATTTTTTTATTCTTTATTAAATAAATTTAAATTCTATTTTTATTTCTATATATAATAAATATAGTATTTTCTTTATAAGTATAATAGCTAGTATATTAGATCTATTAAATTCTAATTAGTTTTAAAATTATAGTTTATAATTATAATTTATATATATAGATATAAGTTAAATAGATTTTTATATTAAACTATTATATATAATCTATATTATAAATAATAGTTATATCTAATTATTTTATTTATAATTAATATATATTTATAAATATTATTCTATTTAATTATTACTTTATAAATAATAAGCTATTAAAAGTTTATATTTTATATCTATTTATATTATAAATAATTATTAAAACTTAAAAATAAATATTATTTCTCTATTTAATATTATTTTATTAGATAATCTATAATAATTAACTATATATTATAGAAATTAATATATAAGATCTTCTATAGAGTTTATTTTCTTATATAGAATAAAGTATCTATATTTTATAAATCTATTAATAATTATTAAAATACTATTATATTTTACTTTAGTTATTAGTTCTATAAATAATAATAGTTTAATAATATAGTTAAAGAATACTAATTATTAGAATTATTTTAATACTAAGAGTAGTTTAAATTCTCTATAGAATTTATATTATATAGACTTAATTCTTATATAAATATTATATTTTAAAACTATAGTTTATATATCTTTTTATAGATCTAGATAGTTATAATATTATTTAATCTTATTAAATATCTTTTTAACTTTTTAATATTCTAAAAGTAAATATTTATAAATTTTCTTAATAAATATTATTTTAGCTTTTTATTATAGTTTCTCTAAATTAAGAATAATCTCTATCTAGATCTTAATATATATTATTTCTTAAAGTATAATTTCTAAGGTTTTTTTATACTAAGTATTCTTTATTATTAATTAAAAATAACTATTTATTTATTTTTAAAATTACTTTCTTATATTTAGATTTTTAACTAAAAGTATTAATTCTTTTATTTTCTAATCTCTTTTAATATATTATTTTATAGTTAAATTAAGATAAATACTTAGTATAATATATTTATCTTCTATTTAGTTATTAAATTATAATAAAATATTAAATATTCTTATAATCTATATATATCTTAATCTTATATATTATTTCTAAATAATAATATTTAAATTCTTTAAATATATATATAATAATTATAAATTCTTTATTATAAATAGAATAATTAAATTCTATACTATATAGTTTTTTTAAAAAGAATACTATAAAATATAATACTTTATTATTATCTTTTTAATTAATTTATATACTAATTATAAAGTTTAAAATATTTATTTTAAATTCTATTTTCTTTATAAAGTTAAATATCTATAATATAAGTTCTAAGAATATTTAATTCTTAATTTTATTAAATACTTATTATTATTTATTATTCTATTAGAATTTTATTTTCTTTTTAATAATATTATATAAAGATATAATA